GAAAAAAGAGAGAGAGAAAAAAGAGAGAGAGAAAAAAGAGAGAGAAAAAAGAGAGAGAGAAAAAAAGAGTGAGAAAAAAGAGTGAGAAAAAAGAGAGAGAAAAAAGAGAGAGAAAAAAGAGAGAGAAAAAGAGAGCGAGAGAAGAAAGAGAGAAAAACGAGAGAGAGAAAAAGAGAGAGGAAAGAGAAAGAGCAAGAGAGAGAAAGGGCAAGAGAGAGAAAGGGCAAGAGAGAGAGAAAGGGCAAGAGAGAGAGAAAGAGCAAGAGAGAGAGCAAGAGAGAGAGAGAGCAAGAGAGAGAGCAAGAGAGAGAGAGAGAGCAAGAGAGAGAGAGCAAGAGAGAGCAAGAGAGAGAGCAAGAGAGAGAGCAAGAGAGAGAGCAAGAGAGAGAGCAAGAGAGAGACCTGCTGCCTTGGCAATGTCTTCCACATTTGTCTCTAATCAGACATTGTACTGCATTTTAGAGACATTGTAGAGTGTCGTATGTGAACTTTGACAATTAGAGACATAATCTTGGAGCTTCAAAATGTGCTCTTTCTAATGAGATATGTTTTCTTTTATTTCATAAAAGCTCTTTTCTGGGAAGTGGGTGGAAAACGCACTATTTTGGGGATTTCTTTGCAAAAATTGTTAGCTTTACACTTAATTTTTGTACAGTAATGGTAAGAGCTACAAGTTTGAAATTATGTATTCAAAAACTCAATGTTTCATTGAGATGTGTGCTAAATTACACTTTTTTACTAGAATACTGAATAAACTATACAAAAAAAAAAAGACTGGAATTTTTATTGGACACAATTTTTTTTCCGTCAACATCAGTGCACTTTTTACTTTTTAAGCATTGTCTAGCCCCAACTGGTAATCAAATTATTTTCTTTTAAAAGTATTAAAATTGGCTCCTCCTAATGAGATGTGTTGGAAAGAATTTCTAAAAGATATTTTATGAAATTATTCAAAGAAGACTAGAAATGCCACAGTTTGATGCTTTTTGCCCAAATCATTTATAAAATTAATTTATGAAGTAATGGTTATAGTTACAAGGCTGAAATTACGCATTAAGAAATAAAGAAATCTTGGTAAGTTACAAGCTAAATTTCATCTTGGTGAAAATTAAGAAAGCTAGTCAATATTAAAATCTGGAACACTTTTTTTTGGTGATTTTGCTGTAGAACACCCACTGTGTTACGAAAAGTGAAACTGATACTAGTTTTATTGAATAGGGCAGAAAAAGTACGGACGTACACTCAGTTTCGTTTGTTTTCATTAACTTGCCAAATAAACTAAATTAACAAAAATTATATAGTCAAACTGTTTAACAACACTTTGTTGGGGTGAAATATGTTTTATCATATCACTTGACACGGAATGACATATTATGAAATATTATGAAATATGATTATTATGAAATAAATTGTATTAGCACTGAACACATTATTGAATTATTAATAAATAGCTACAAAAATAATGCAGCATTTGGTATATGGCACTGATATCACTTGGGTGCACCTGTCAGTAACTAACCTCATTACCCTTGAGAAAGTAAAAGTCGCATGCAGTGGCGGATTTACCATTTTCGAGGTCGGAAGCTACAATATTTTTGACACTCCCCTTTTTACTGACAACAATAACATTTTTGAGTTTGGAGATTATAACCTGTTTACTCAAAATTAATTAGACAATTAAAACATGTTTTCAGACACTAATTTTATTCAGATTTAAAAATTTTAAAATGATAAAAATCAATTTTAACTTAATATTATCTATATGTCAAACTAACTGCAATATAACTCAACACCATATTAATCATTAATAAAAATAAAACTGAATAAAAATGTAGTTAACATGATGTTTTGTACACAAAATCAGAAATTATACTGTCGACTATGACGTTTTAAGAGTTAATCATTTTCACAGAACATTATTGTTAATTAATTGAGTTTGTCTTGTCCCATAGTTACTTGATACTAGTTTTTAACCCTTTTAAGTTAACTGAATGATATTTTACAGGTACAATTTGTAATAATTAAATGTTTTTAAATTCAAAATGCAACCTCAACATGTCAGTCAAAGTCAGTCAAAGTCAGCCATTCCAATCAGCCAATCCAAACAATTTGGCAGATTTTGGCATGACGGATTTAGTCATGCACTTGATAAGTTTAAAATATAGTACATGAAAATAAAAATGCTGGTCTTAGAATAAATCTGTTTTAACTCCAATAACATGTTCATAACATTGCTTTATTTTTTTTTCTTTATGGGAACTTATTTGAACACATCTTGAATAAATATATTTTCATACATTTTTTTAGCAAATCAAGAATATTGTTTAAAATTTTTAGGGCCCCTTGGACTCTGAGGCTCCAAACTGTAGCTTATTTAGCTTAACATGAAATCTGCAACTGGCCATACATTTTAAAAGAGCCATAGGTGTGGCAAAAAGAACCAGATCTTATCTAGAATATATCCTAGTAAAGCAACCTTTTCTGCACAAGAGCACAGTTCCTTCTACCATTCACAGAGGCTTATAATGGGCTACTCCCAAAGTTACAATGGAAAAGAGAGGAGATCTGGACAGACTTCTTTGCAATAGGTGCAAAATCTGGCAGCACACAGGCACTACCAAATTTTGAGAAAATGACACATGATTACACAATTGACAGTAAACATTATTCATCACTTCATTAAACAGCCTTATCGTACCATTCATTACCCAACACACACACACACACACACTTATGTGAATTCTATGAAGACGAATGAGACTGATATCATAATGAAAAGTGTCAGAACAAAATCTGTAAATAAATACACAAAACTTATAACAGGAAATTCAAGTTTGTGAAGAAATGTGCAACTACATCAATTATTATAATTATTATTATTATTATTATTATTATTATTATTATTATTATTATTATTATTATTATTATATGCAGTGCACCTTCAGTAAATATAAATCAATGAACAGCATTGTGTAAATAAAAAAATTGAAATAGAGTACTTAGAAATATTGGTGAGAATTTCATTAGCGAAATACAACAAACTTCACAAACAATACCACACCTAACACTCATTGGCTCTCCCTGCTGGTAACTGCAAAACTATTAACTAAATATGTCTGAGAAATTGGAGAAACACAAACAAAAAAACAAAAAAAAAAGTTGACAAGTTTAACACCTTAACATCAATATATGCATAATATATAATATAAATAAGTTTCAAATAAATTTCAATTCAAGTTCATGAACCTCTGCCAAATATGGCAATGCACAACAACCATTTTCCCCAATTTTATTTAGTTTTAGATTCTAAATCATTAGCAGGTCTAAATTGAATCTGGACAAAATTCTTAAAAAACATCTGTCATCCTAGCAAATTGACATATTACATCTTGAGTATTTTTGCCCCCATAAACAGTCAATTTTCAGCACCAATTTACATGAATTTTTGTTATTATCATTATTTCCAATATTATAAAATTGTATTATTGTAAATGAAAATAATAATTAGCTTGTAAGTTACAAAACATATCTTATGCTTTATCTTGCACAGATTACTTATGTGACAGATGGATTGTGACACATGAATTTACTTCTATATCCCATGTCGTTTGTAAAAGGTGTAAATTTAAAAAGGTAAAATATGTAATTCTAATGAACAATAATATACAATCATAATTATTTTTGCAACTAGTAGACCTTACTACCACCAAAAAGTTTTCCCATGTTTGGGAATTTCCCTGTAAAATACACTGTGACATGTCCACATAAACAAACAAAAGCCTAGCAAAATCTAGAAAAAATATTTTTAGAGAGTAAGAGTAATACAATAAAATTAACTAATACACATTAGAAATTTGCATTTGGAGATTATTCATAACAGTGTATTACCATAAGAATCCATCGCTGGTAAAAGACTATGCCAATTGAAAGGATCAAGTACAGTATTATGCAGCTAAGTGATCTGCAAATAACTGAAAATGTGTTCACTAGTGGCACAGACTGATCCACCTGTTTCTGTTCACTCATATTTTGAGCATGTGACACAACTTATTTTTTCCTCTTCTACACTCTTACACACTTCAACTCTCTTTGAACATAAAAAGTGAAACACGCCCACTTTCCAATTCTTCACAAAAACAATAACACCCCCGTCACTCTCTTAAAATTTCTGTAACAATCTGCATCTTTGAATTAACAGTGCACACTGTTGGTTGCGGTTGGTTGACGGCACAGAAACAAAGTTATACTACGATTTATTTAACCATACACTTGACATAAATCAGCTGTTCACGATTTCATCCAATCGAGAGATTCAACGTCCCTATTGTGACGTCACTGTAGCAACATTTAAGCTCCCGGTTGGATGAAACTGCAACAGCTGATTCACGTCAAGTCCGTGACTAAATCGTACGCCAGCCGTGTTAACTGCGCTCTAGGGGCGAAAACCTCACTTACAGCTCGTCAAAAAAGGCGGTAATTTTTGGAACAGTGTCAAATTATTCTTTAAAAAAATCAATGTTCTAATATGAAATTATTTTATAAAATTGGTCAAATTATATCCTGCAAGATTCCAATGATTGAAATGATATTTCATTAAAAGTTAATTTCATATATGTTAATATTTGAGTCTGTATTCATAAAATAATAGTGTTGAAATTATACCGTATCTTGAGTATAACACAGTTATGGCTTCCAGTCCAAATGACAATTTTCAAAAATACAGACTCCGTCGAAAATGAAACAAGTATTAATTCTTTGCTGTGTTTTTCTCTATCCGAGGACAAAAATTAAATAAAAAATGGAACAGTTTATGAGAAATAATTGTTTAAAAATTGCCTGTATTTCACGAAAAAATACTCAAAACCGACTCATATTTTCAAAAAATTGTAAATGATCTTACTTCAAGATATATCTTAGAACAACAGATTTTATTAAGGACAAGATCTGTATTTTCAATACTGTAGTTGTGGGAATACGCCGAAAAATGTTGAATTTTTGCAATTAAAAAAAATTCAGAGATATCAACAAAATTGTCACACGAATCGTTTCTAAGCTTTCTTTGCGCTATCCGAAGCCAAAGTTTAATAAAAAAAAATGGGAGCTATTTTTGAGAAAAATTTTAAAAAGTTGAGACTTCGTGTAAAATACGCCAAGAAATCAAAATATTCATTTTAAACTTCTAGGGCTATGAGTTAGTGTACATCGATAGTGGAAAATCAGTTTTCGAAAAAATCGTCTGAACTGTTTAACCGTTGACCACAGACAGACGTTTTGTCGTCAATCAATTCTTCGGTTATAATGACCCACAAAACTTGGATTCTGACTGTATAACGTATTAGAGGAAGTCATTTACAACACATAGGAACAAAATTTATTCACGTTCGTGACTGGGGCCCCCCTATATCAATTTTTCTACCCAAAATTCGACGGTTTTTTGGTCGCAGCAATTTGGTCGCAGCAATACAATACTTTCTCTCAATATGTATGTTCGTAGTAAGGCGAAAAAACCTGTTCGTGATACAAATTATTACGTAAAATGCTTATTAATAAACAATATTTTTTACATTCTCGCCTTATTTCGTAAGAAGAGAAAGTATTGTAATCGTGTGCCAGAAAACGGTAATTTTTCGGCACAAAAACCCTTATTCCCGGGCCCTGGTAACGAAAAAGTGGATAAATCTTACTTATATATAAAGTAAATTACTTCTTTTAACACGTTGTGTAGTCAGAATCATTGTTTTGTGAGTCCATCATACCGAAAAAACAACTGACGGCAAAATGTCTGTCCGTTTTGGTCATCGCTTGCGCTTAATCCAGGGGACCCAACTTCCAAGGCCTTAAGGGCAAAAAATATAACCTTTAATATGGTTGCGGACATTATTTTCATTACTCGAGCGGTCCACTCGTGTCCCCATAATGCTGATCTCTGAAGTTCACTCGGCTTCTCGAAACAGGGGGGAAAGGATGGACCATGCGTGATATTAGACAGTACCACAATGCAGTGGAACACAATGGGATGATTATGGAATTCTGAATTTACTAGAAAATATCCATATATCTAGCCTATTTTTACATTAACGGGATGTTGAGCTCGACAGGGCGCTACGCACATAATCATATCGCCCCATGTGATGTGACTCACGTTTCACTAATAACACTTAGCGGGCCACAGGAAATGGCACCGCATCCGCATGCGTTTAGACCATTTAGGCGATTTCCTTCATAACTGATATTCTCCGATCGATATAAATTAACTCGAGTTTTAAAAGTTTGAAACAGATATTTTGAATTTTGAGGATAAAAATTTTGAGGTTTTATGCTTTGCATAAAACCTCAAAAATATTTTCAAAATCTTCTAAAAAACTGCTCCAATTTGTTTATTTAACATTTATCCTTGAATAGTGAAAGGTGCAGGTCTCATTTTTGTTAAAATTACTCAATTTTCCAAAATTGAAAAAGTTAAAAATGTTTTTCGGTGTCTTCCTGCATTTACAAAATTGAAGATCGAGATTTTTTCCCTTAATGAAATCTATACTGTTGACTATAAGACATGTTGGAATAAGGTAATGAACAGGTTTTCGAAAATATGAGTAGTTTTCGCGCAATTTGGCATGAAATATAGGCAATTTTTAAACAATTATTTTATGCAAATCATTAACATCGCAAAAGTATAATATTAATGATAGAGGATTTTGGCTTAAATAAAATCTTTTCTAAAAAAACAGATCTAGGAGTTCGTGCACACGTTTTTAAGGAGTAGTTTTCGCGTACACTTACGTAGTAAAGAGGAAGTAGGTATTGTAATGCAGTAGCGAAAAATGTTTTTACGATGTGGAAAGTACAGTGAAATGTGGCAATAGAAACGGCACCTAAGAGTAGGCGCAGTTCCAATGTGCGCAATTCAATTTGTATCATTTGATCAAACACGGCTCATTATTTTGTTGGATATATGAAGCTTTCGCTCTTGATAAAATGGCTCGTTATTATATCCAATGGAATGGTACCAGCGAGGTCACTATAACACTAGTAGCCTAATTATTCATTTAGTCCTACGTGAAAATGTAGAAAAAGCCGATCGGATAAGATAAAACGTACATTACACGTACCTAGTAGCTTGAAGCTCTGTACCGTATATTCCTATTGTGTTTGGTACCGCTCTCGTAAATAAACGATTAACAAACTCACTTTTGTCTACTTATACAAATAATTAAAATTCATTAATACTCGAAAAGGTATAAAATAATTTTTTTGTTGATATTTTTAGACATAATAAATTTTTAGATTTTCATAATTCATATCTGATAAACTGCTGACACTTTTATTAAAATTTATTTAATTCTAAATAATTTCTATCATGCTGCTCTGTTAAAATGTCTTGGGCTAAACATTATCTTACAAAACTGGAGATAAATCCAGTGACCTTCTATGAAAAGAAATAGTAGTTTCTTATCTCATACCAAGATAAACCTCTTCCTGCATGCTAACCAGTATATGGTTTTGAAGCATCCAGTTACATTATGAGTTTCCATATGCAGTCACTGCACTTTACTTCAAAGACTTAGGAATGTGTTGTGTTTAAAGTTCAGTGATTACAAATCAATTCCAATTCTGTTCACAAAATTGTTAGTTAAAAACTAAATATATTCATTATTCAAACAGTGTTTCATCATGGAATCTAATGATTTAATGAAAAGTAAAGAAATTCTCTCAGTAGCAGTTAAAATTGGAAAGGATATCACATTGTACAAACTGAATCAAGGATTACCTCTACAAATTATTATCAAAGAACTTTGTGAAGAAAGGAATATTGAATATATTCCAAATTATTATGCCTTGCAAATTACAGACACCAAGGAGGGAAATATCAATAAGTATGTGACAGAGGAAAACAGATATTCCTACATTACAAATGCTTCAGAATTGCGATTGATATACTCTGCTACAGAAATGTGTAAAATGATTCATGAGAAAATTATTTCTGAAGATGAACTTGAATGGACTCTAGAGAAGTTATCTAGTCTGAGTAAAGATAAAACTTTTTCAGAGGAATTTGTAGCAAAATATGGAATAAATTCTCTTGTTTCCCTAATGCAAAAAGCTAAGCCACCATATGAAATGATTCATTTATGTCTGGAAGCTCTTTTATCTTTCTATAGTTTTAATTTAATAACAAGTTTTGATAACATTCCTTTAGAGTGTTTGATCAATTTTGTTGTTTCATCTCGAACAGTTCCAGAAGAGGTAACTGAACATTCTTTACATTTTCTCAAAAATATGCTGACATCTAAGAAAGTACCAGCAAATTTGTCAAAATGTATAAATAATAAAATTTCTATCGATGATGTTATTACATTTTTGCAATCAAAATATAACTCGCACTTGCAAGAAAAAGCATTGGCTTATTTAAATGTTTTACTTCTATTATCAGATACAAATGATTCCTGTATTATTAGTCAGTTAGAAAGTCGAAAAGTAAGGGAAATCATATGGAAAAATATCGTTATGAATTCTATAGTATCTCAAGGCATGGCCCATGAACTTTTCATATTCCAAAGTATATTTTTGAAAGATTTAACTTCAAAATTAAATACATATATAGAGGCACACAGTGATGAAGCCATGCATCTCCAAGAACTACACAATATTGACTATTCTCATGAAAATCATTTTAAAAGGGATAGTGTTTTGTCATTCTTTGAGGAACATTCTTCAGATAAATTGTCACCAGAACCATCAGCATCAAGATCATCAGCTTATGAAAGTGATGCCGAAAAATATCACTTTCCTCTAGTTCAAATGCCTAAATCAGAAAACGAAGATGAAGAAGAGAAAAGTTATACATTTTGTCGTTCTCAATCACTAGACATCAGTGTTCTGACTTTAAATTGCATGCAATATTTTTCACGGAAGAAGCTAAAAACTTTCATGAAAGTAAAGTTAATGGAAGAGAAAGTTCAGAAGAAACCTTTTCACAGCATCTGTGATCGCCTGGTAAGTCCATATTATTTTCTACATTGTGTTATTATTTATTTTATTCATTTCAATTGCTTGTTAGTTAATGGATACCTATCAGTCTATCCATCTTTTTTCAATGCCTATCAAATGTCTAATATAAAATAACATACATCTATCCTCTTTCTGTCTATTAATTACCCTCTTAATTGATTCATACACATCACTAACTATCCGTTCATTTATTTAAAAACCTTTCATCCTACCAATTATACCATTCACCTAGTACTGTCCTGATAGTACTTATCTGTTCATTAATTTTATCACTCTTATTTGAAACATACGTTACACTCTCAATGAATGTGTGTGCTTCTTATTTTCTAATTGTTATCTGGGGATAGATTCACACGAGTTTAACAAGAGTAGGAAATTTCTATCTTACTATCTATTCTATTACTTAGAAAAAAAAGTTTCTCAGGCTTCTTTATTTTTAATAGATTAGCAATGGTGATGCAGGATTTTTGTGTACTGTTGTAGAGACATTATGATTATATTTTCCTTACTTAAGTCATATTTTCAATTTAAAAAAATCCTTGCTTCTTATTTTAAACTCTAATTCCTTTTGAAGTGACCGGACAGAAATTCCCCATTAAGGAAATAATTTTGATTTACAAATATTTTAATTTATTAATTAAAAATTTAATTAATGAATGAATGATAATTAATGAAACTAAATGAAATAAATAAATAGTTTTAAATTTTTAATTAATTTTCAAATTAATTAACACCTGTTAACATTTCCTTATATTAGGAAAAAACTTTTCTGTTCAGTATTGAAAAATTTCAGTTCTGTATTAGTTGCGTTGTTAAACATTTCATATCCTAGAACTGGAAGAATACTGTTTATCATTATGATGTTTTGAAGATTTATTTTTTAGAAACATGTCATTCTCTGTGCTTGACCTCTTCAGATTACTTTGGCAGCCTTATCTGTGAGAATTATAAGTAAATAAACCTTAAGGTAGCACATTCAAAGAATAAAAAAACTTCTTATAGTTTTAAGGCGTCCATTTCTCCTATATTATTTCTCACAACAAAATAAAGAAAAATTCTAGGATATTCTAAATTTAAGTTTATTCATGTCATGAATTGAAGATCTTGAGTTTCTCTTATCAGGTTCTGTATTACTTAATCTTCATTTTCAGCAAAGGAAATTATCACAAACAGGAGTGCCCAGAGAAAACTAGGGGCCTGGGACAGTTGATCCGCGGGGCACCTTATTTCATACAAAACATTCCCTCCTCCCCAATTCATTAACAGAATTCATTTCTCCATGCATCAGAAATTATTTTTAGCATTTAAGTTGGTTTAGAGATTTTGTGTTTTATTTATATTGAATTAAAAAGTTTCGAAGCCTCATTTAAGTCGGGGCCTGTGGCATGTTGCCGCGGGTGTTGCCCCCTTTCCTCACTTCTGGGCACCTCTGATTACAAGGCAATTAATAAATACTCTTATAATGGGATTATGACTTCTTTTTTACTATCTACTTTTATCCTTTAACCCAATATATTATTAGTTGTTCTTTCATTGATATTTAAATGTTTTTACAGATTGTTGGCCCAATCTTCTCACTGGTAATAACAAATTGTACATTTTTATTTCTTCCAGAAAAATAAAGATAAAAGTTATAGGCTAAGATAGGTAAGAAGATACAGAATTGGATACCATACTTTCTTATCTAAGTACTCTGATAAATGGTCTCACCAGCTAAAATGATATAAGGTGCCCTCAAGTAAAATGTTTTGAGCAATGGTTCTTACACATTTAGCAAATTCAAATGGTTTATCATTTCCTCACCCATTCCTCCTCCGGAAATGTGTTTTTGTTTATTTTTATTTTTTATTTTTTATAGTGATTTTTATGCTCAGATTAAAATTAAAAAATATCCTGTGTTAATTATTAGATCATCATGCTAGTGGATGAAGAATGGCTACTGCTTCATACTAGTGAATTGGCCACTGCTACAATCAGTTGCAGAAGTTACAATAATTATATTTGGATGTACAATAATTGCTTTGACAAATTATGAAACATGTGTTAAACCATTAATTCCTATCGTTATTAGTTGTGTCAGTAAATCCTTCAGTGGGGAAGAAGTGTAAGAGGGTTATGAGAGAAAATTTAGGCCTTGGAACAACAGTGTTTGCTAGAACCTTATATAAATACACATACCCAACTCTTTGAATCCATTAGATAATACATATTTTGTGTATCATAGATAAGTGGGTGGATACATAAGGGTGGACATTTGCCGAAGCAAACTTGGCAGCTGCCTTCAGTCGAAACATTAGAGAGGGTACCAGAAGATAGTAATAAAATAAATAGATGCCCCAATAACTTGTGAAGGAAAAAAATAGTAAATAAGGAAAAGCAATGTTAAACAGTTTTTCTAGTTAAACAGATTTTACATATTTTATCTGATTCAGATTTTAAAATTTTAGGCTTACTGGAATAATGGAAATTTTAAAACAGAATTAAATAACTAGTAATAATATTGGTTGCCTGAGGCGGATCAAGAGAGTTGAACTAAAGTGGCACAGAATGTAAAAAATAAATTATCATGTAATTACAATACTCAACATTCCTGATATACTCCATGTTTGTTTAGTAAGTCAATCCTATCATTGACTCATGCAAAAAAATGGATTCCTTGAGAATTGAAAAATAAAAAATCCTTTTAAAAAAAATTAATTTAATTTTTTAAATTGAGAGTATAGTTAATGTATTTAGGCTTTCATAAATGTTGCCTTCCATTAGATATAATAAAATAAATGATACAGGAGTTTTGCATGAAGTGTCGGTCATTTCATCCCCTTGATCAGAGATATTCTGCAGTAGGCCTTATTTATTTCATCCATAATTTTTGCTCATGAATGGTTTTCAAATTTTGAAAATTGTTCTGAATTGCCAATGAAATTTCTTTTAACAACATTGCACTTACTAAGATAATTTTTAAAAAATGGTAGAGTTGACGTATAATCAGTTAGTCCAATTGGATGAGGTGGCTAAGGGCATTAGCTGATGTCACTGCAATGTCTCACCGGGAGGCCGTAGGGTTCGAGTCCCGAAGACGGCACATTTCCGGCTACTTTGGTCGGTAGTTTTCCGTGATTTCTCCTATCAATACTAGGCGAATGCCGAAGCAGGATCCTGACAAACGGGCCACCGTCCACGCGCTATCCTTCCATTTTCATCTTCCTTGTTCTACCTCTACCCTTACACTGATATGCCACTCATGTCACGAAGACAGACGGACATAGAGCTTGCCCCTGCTGGTATGCCTCGCAGGTGGTAGATACCTGGATAGGAAAACCGCACAAGCCTAATTGTGACGCTTCCGAACTGAAAATTCCGCTTGGCGGGAACAGATTTAGGAAATCTCTTCCTTACAACTTCAATTAATATCGTTATCCTCTGCGGGTGGTTTGAAAAAAATGTGCGCAGACCCGAAACACCGACAAAGAAATTTCGAACATTTCTATCCATTCATGCAGCTCTCGTCAGTAAAGTAAATCTTATGTGCATGAAAATTGACAAATTGAGCATAGGGTGTAGCCTACCCTTAGTCTTGATGAAAGCTTCTACTCTCTCAGCCATACCTTTAAATCAGGTGTTGGAATGTTTCTTGGGGAATGGCACCCCATTCTTGATGGAGTGCTGCACGGACGAGAGGTATCGATGTGGGAGGTGAGGCCTGGCACGAAGTCGGCGTTCCAAAACATCCTAAAGGTGTTCGATCGGAATCAAGTCAGGATTCTCTGCAGGCCAGTCCATTACAGGGATGTTATTATAATGTAACCACTCCGCCACAGGCTGTGCAGTATGCTCGATCGTGTTGAAAGATGCAATCGTCATCCCCGAATCGCTCTTCAACAGTGGGAAGCAAGAAGGTGTTTAAAACATCAACGTATACATGTGACGTGATAATGCCACCACACAAAACAACAAGGGGTACAATCCCCCTCCATGAAATACACGACCACACCATAACACCATTTTGGATGTGTCCGGATACTTTAGATCAAATAGTGTTTCTATAAACACTTGATTGATGCATCCTGATAAGTGTAACCTAAGAATGAGTAGTCTTAATTCTTTTGCTACAATTATATATTCTTAAGTGAAGTTTCTGTTTTGTAAATACCTATTTTCATTCATGTTCTTTTGTTTGATGCTTCGATTAACATGCATTTTACAAATGCACCCGACAAGAAGAAACCTATAAGAAAAAGATTAAAAACATGAAAACAAGTTTTTGCACAGAATAGGACTTTGGGATACGTGTCGAACGTGTATGCAGAACACACGAACGATCGCTCAGGATTTGCGACCGACGAGTGTAATAATCTCGCATTACCCGTCTCTATTTCTACCGAACTACGCAGAAGACTCCCGTGAAAAGGCTTGGCAGCGACGCATGATTCTGAATTCCAGACAAATCTTAGTTATGGTTCATGCTGTTAAGAGCACCACCATTGCCGTTCACAGCAAGAGATGTCCACCAGACTCCACTCCTCTTCGGTTCACAGCGTGGTTCACTTGTTCAGGCTACTTGAAGCTTAGATACATATTTCCATGTTGAGAATGAGGCCCGGACCTTCGGGTTTCGCGTTAACATAAAACATCCCTGAGTCTGCGCAACGTAACTCTTCTTGTCGGGTGTTCTTTCGGGCTACGGTCAGTACTCACCCCCAGAATAGTGTGTTGCGAATCCTAATCCGAGCGCTCCCAGAAAAGTTGTTCTGAAGAGTACGTACTTTCAGGGTATGCGGCTTCTTAAGGAAAATTTATATATTTGGAAGCTCCTATTCTAGAACATACCGTTACATCCTTGTAGATTTATATTAAAATATAATTTTGTAGTTTAAATTATCCTACGAAAGGGGATTATTCATTAGTACTATCGTACATGCTACTTTTCGTTTCTGCTTTCGGACGATAAATCTCTAGCGTCCTGTGGCATTCATCGCCAGGATACC